AAATGTCCCAAATTTTGCCAATAGGAATTCCTCCAAACTGGGTCCAGTGTTGTTGTTTTTGGTTTATTTTTATGTACCTACATCATTATTTGAGCTTTCTTTGGGACAGAAGATATTTCAGGTTCCCCTTCAACTTTTCTTGCCTCAGCCTTAGAAGCTGTCATTTCTTCAAGGAATCCTGGTTCCTTTTAATGGAGAATGGTATTTAGAAACCAAGCTCTGGGCAGATGTGCTTGTTGCTCCTGGTGTCTTACTGCTTTGTCAGCAGACAGAGCTATGAAATAAATGTATGTTTGTGATGTGTATGTGTATATAACATATTTGATATGTGTATATGTGTAAATATATGTATACACACATATGCCATGTGTTCACATTAACACCTCTGGTTCTAACCCAGAATTCTGGGGTCTATCTAGGCTCCCCTTTCCATATTTATAACTCCTTTCATGAGAACTGTAAAATCCATTTCTAAAATTAGGATCATTTTAACAGAAAATCAGGGGTGGTGGTAGGAAACCAAAGGGAAAAGGGCCTTCAAAATGTGTTTATGGTGTGAGCTCTCCCTACCATGCTTCTTGATAATATTACAATCGGTGAAAACTTTTAAATGAAGGTAGAGTTCAAACTGAGGAAGCCATTAAAATTAAAAAAAAATTGAGTATAACCTAAGGGAAAAAGAGAGTAAAAGAGAAGTTAAAAATAAGCTCACAAGTCCAAAAAAGGTGAAAGGTTAAGCTCTTTAAAATAACAAGATAAAGTGGGTGAGATATAAAATAGTAGTGTCATAAACTCAGATGGTAGAAGCTTAAAGACATAAAGAAGCAGAGAAGATAAATCTTAGGCAAAACACAAATTCTCCATGAACTGAAAAGTTAAAACACTGAGAGGGATTAAAATTTAAAAATAGGAAATATGAAATAAAAAGGTAAAAATAAAAATTACAAAAACAGTAACAAGTGACAATATTGGGGGAATGTATTTAAAAGAAACGAGAAACAAAAATCTGAGAGACGAGTAAAGTGACAGTGAAGGGGGAAGGGAAGGGGTGTCGAGGCTCAGGGAGGAGGACCCCAGACCACGTCCAGGAGGCTCCACTTTTCTTTGTGGGGAATGAATCTCCTGTGGAAATTCAGTTGCCCTTGATGAAGCGATAACCAGCACGTGCTCTCCTGTGTTGGGTCTGCCGCTCTAAACCCCCTGCAAGCGGTCAGCTGGGAGCGGAGGATGGGTGGGTGGACATTCTCACAGCCAGCAGTCAGCACAAGGACAGAACAGCTTCTGAATATTAGGAGCCCCCTGTTTGCTTTTGCTTCCGGAACTGCAGTTGAGATCATCTGTCCTGAGTGGACGTGGCATAAAAGGGGATATGATGGTACTGTCTAAGAGTTTAGTGTAGAGTAGGGAAGAGCTCAATGGTTTGGGATTTGGGAGACATGAGCTTAATCCTGGGAATCAAGCTAATGTAAGTTTGAATAAGCCATTCACTCTCCCTGGACCTTGCATTTTTATTTATTTTTAAAGTTAAGCTATAAAAGGAGAGCCTTACAATAATGTTTTCTTATCGATGTTAGACCACAGACAAGTAAAATATCACACTTTCTGTTGTAGATTCCTAGATCAAAATCTGTCATAGATGCGTGAAGAGATGTAAGAATGAGAAGGGAGACGCGTACAAGGAACCGACCTGCTGCCCAAAAGGAAGACGGGAAAGAGACGCACACGACGCGGTACGTTTGACCCAACAGCCCTCAAACCTGAGGCTGGGGAAAGAAGGACTGATCCCCCAAAATACTTAGCTTCATCAGATTTTTTTTTATAGTGTCGGTAAAACTAAAATTCAGTTGGGAAATCCCAAGACTCCTGCCAACAAGGAAGAACTTAAAGAGCCCTTGTAATTATCCAGATCATAAAGTTTAAACAGGAGGTGGAGTCAATGCTATCTGACACATAATCGGAAGTTGCAGTCACTGCACTCGTGTGAAAATGCTTCGAGCTGGCGCTTGTCCAAGGGTGTCACAATAACCATGGGTGTGTGTGTGTGGCTGATCTTCCCCTTCCCTCGTTACACTGGGCATCATATCAACACCCCAGGGCTGTCTCACCTGCACGCTAGGAAACCCAGGTTTCAGGAATGAGGGTTGCAGGATTGCCAGCCACCCAAACACCCAGGAAGGGTAGCAAGGAGAGAGTGTCGGAGAAGCAGGGTCCCAGCTCTGTTAGTCCTCCCTTCATCCCATGCTTGCTTCTGGCTGGAATTGCCTGTTTCATCTTCTTGTTTGTCTTTTAAGGTTGGGTTTAGTGTGGTTTTGTTTTTTTGTTTCCTTGCTTTACAAGAGGAAATGGTGGGAAGGGAGGGCAGAACTGCGAAGACATTTATGAGCCATTCCTTCTTGTGCTTATTTGGATCCAGAATTCCCATTTCATCTCTATCTCCATCATCTTTTGCTAAGTCCCCTGAAGTCACTTCCTAGTTAGAAGCCTTTACAGGTGAGAAGTTCTTTTCTTTCTTAGTTTCCTCTGCATCCCACACTACTCTTAACAAACATAATTCCCTCTCTGGGACTGGAAAGGAGTAAAAGGTGAATGCAGACCATCTAAGAGTCTGCAAACTGTCTTCTTAATTTAACCAGCATATTTTGGGTGATGATCGCAATGGTGAGGTCCTAACATGGACACTGGGAAACACAGTGGACAATCTCTGCTTTTGAGAGCTTGCATTTAACTGGGGAAATAAAAACCTTTTGTGTGAAGACTTGAAGAAAGGAGAGTTAATGCCAATACCAAATGATATGAGGCAGGTTGTGGCTAAATGTCTAGGGGATGGCATGGATATTGAATATTAAGCAGTTTGGGAGAGTCGGGGAGAATTTCCTGTGGGGCCCACCTGAATCCTGATATGAATAAAATTTAGCCATGGTCACCACCTTGCATTTGCAAGACGCTGTGAAGTTTATGAAACATATTGCTCCACTTAATGTTTAAGTCATAGGTCTTCCAGCCGAGGAAACTGAGGTTCAGCCAGGTTGTGTGGAAGCAGGGAGCCCAGGTCTCCTGATCACAGGACTCAAGTTCTTTGCAGTAGAAGGAACTCCTCTGGAAGAAGGTGGCTGAGCAGTGGGCTGGGGGCAGGAACTCCAGTAGCCAGACCACCCCACACAGGGAAGGGAATCTGAAGAATCTTGAAGGTGGAGGTGGGATTCTCTGTTAGGGGAGTAATCAACCCAAGCAAGGATAACGATCGACCTGCATTACACCTGTCACCCTCTCCGATTGGTGGCTCAGAGACCAGATTTATTCTAAAGACATGTTTGGTCTTCGAAGTGGTTTAAATGCGTATATTAATTGCCCGTTAAAAAATGAGGCCATTTCTCTCTACACACACACACACACACACACACACAGACTCAGATTGATAGTTCTTCTTGAAAATTGGAATCCCTGGTGACCCTGAGTCCCCATTCTTATGGCAACTTAGAGCTGCAACTGTGTAGCAACTGTCTTTTTATTTTAATTTTTGAATTCTAAAAAATTGAAGTATAGTTGACTTACAGTATTGTATTAGTTTCAGTTTATAACAGAGTGATATGCTTTTTTTATAGAATAAGCTCTGCGTGTCTATATATATAAAGTTATATACATGTGGTTATTATATATATAATATATATTAAGTATATACAGTTATTATAAAATATTGGCTATATCCCCTGTGCTGTGCATTACCTCCTTGTATCTTACTCATTTTATACCTAGTAATTCATATCTTTTAATCCCTTTCCCCTATCTTGCCCATCTCCCCACCCCTCTCCCCACTGGTTACCACTAGATTGTTCTCCATATCTGTAATTCTGTTTCTGTTGGTGGGAATGTTAATTGTTGCAGCACTATGTTTCCATAGTATGGAGGTTCCTCAAAAAATTAAAAATAAAACAACCACGTGATCCAGCAGTTCTACTCCTGGGTATGTATATGAAGAAGACAAAAAAAAAAAACCCACCTAATTCAAAAGGATATATTCCCCCCCTAGTGTTCATAGTGTGGCCATTATTACATTAAGTGTCCATCAGTGGATGAATGGATAAAGAGGATGTGGTGTATATGTATACGATGGAATGCTACTCAGCCATAAAAATGAATGAAATTCTGTCAGTTGCAACAACATGGATGGACCTGGAGGGTATTATGCTGAGTGAAATAAGTCAGAGAAAGACAGATACTGTATGTGGAATCTAAAAAATAAATGAGTGACTCTCCAACCGCCTCTTTAAGTGGTGTCCCATAAGGGAATGTGATAAGTACTGCACTTCAACAGTTCCTTGATTTGAGTATTCTGTTACTAATCTGAGAGACAGTTACGATGCAGTACAGAGGGGAAGGAGGCCTGGAGTTAAGCCCAGCTCTGCCGTATCTTGGTTGTGTGACCTCAGATTAGACACGTGACCTCTCCCAGCTTCAGCTTCATGATCTTTTGCTTGGGCATGATGATGCCCACTTCCAGTGAAGGTGTGAAAATTATATGAGTTAATAAAAGAGCAGGTGCTACCGGTATTGTTCATGCTTATTTTTGGAAGCATTGACTGTGAGATGCAAAGACCCAGAGCATGGGTTCTACAGGGTATTCCTCAAAATGATTTTGGAATCTTTGCCTTAAACTGTCAGCTGGGGGGAAACGCTGCAGTGAGTCTCATGTGACTTTGAGGATGTCATGGACCCAGGACAGGGGATGGCAAAGAGTTCCCCAAACAAAGGCTGCCCTGTCGCCACCCCCGCCCATAACTTCCAGGCCACAATCCCATTGGCCATCACAGTCACCCTCCCCATTTTGCCACTTGAACAGGATGCTATGTATATGTTGACATATCAGGGAGAGGATCAGAATCGAAAAGAATTGTAACTGGAGCACTTTTTGAAATCCACCTTCAAGGTAGGAGAGTATGTTAGAAAGTCAAGACTTGGTCAGTAGGGACGGACACGAAACTCGGCGCTCCTCAGCCCTGGGAGAACGTCAGGTGACTGTTGTGAGTCGACTTTAGGATTGTGACAATGATGCCGATGCTCTTTGAAGATGCCAGCAGCTTTTCAAGAAGTAGATTCATCTGGGAAGGATTTCAGGCCAAAATTCCCTTTGGATAGTGCTTTTTGGTTTGTCTTTTGTCCTGGCTCACTGACTGGTTACTGTGGTGACATGTGTGGGCGCCCCGGAGGGTAGCCTCAGTGACAAGCGCTTCCTGACTCTGTGTTCAGGTGTACAGTTCTATTTCTCCCGCTTTCTCACCCTCCCACTCCATCTCCCCAGCCCCCCCAACGCTGCACTTAAAATGCCATTTTGCCATTTCCTTGATTGCTTTGTGAGAAGTCGGAGTGACCACATCAGTGCAGCCCCAAGGCATCTGTCAGCTTCTGGCTCAGACAGAAAAACCACAGCTACGTGATGGTTCAGCATTGGTCCCTGTTTACCCGACTTCCTAGATAACTGAGAGCTCACAGGACTCAACATTTATAAAACTGCCACGTGTTCAGGCAAGTTTTTTCTCCCCTACTTGTTGAAAACTTTGCTTTCTAAAAAAATATGACTGAGAAGGAGACCTGGAGATCTGTGAAAGTAATAGCCTTGGGGGCCAGGTAGGTAAGTTTCCATCCTCAAGCCACAAAGCAAGAGTATGTTTTCTCCCTTCCGGGGACATTGAGAGATGCTAGACAAAAAGGAGCTTGGCTGTCATTGTTGTATGCTGGAAATAGGCTGGCCTCCGGTTCTTCCACAAAATGCTAGTCCTTGGACTGAAGCCGAGCTTGTAAATTTTGGTTTAGATAAGTGCTTAATAGGAAAAGCAAAGGGGGAAGCCCTCGGGGCTCCCCTGAAGGCACTGGTGGCCTTAGCTCTGGTTCCCTGCCTCCCATCTTGCATCAGCTGACCTGTTTTCCTGGAGAACTGCTGTGTCTTGATGAGCAAGGCTCCAGCCCTGGCAGTGAGTCTCTTGCTACGGGAAGGGGGATGGAAGCTGCCCAGCCATCCATGGAAATGCTAATGAGGTGAGATGGCCCTGGGCTTTTAATTCAGATCTTCTGTGATACTTTGCATCCCTGATGCTGTTGGAACACAGCTTTACAACTGATACCAGGGAGATGGTGAGACGCAGGTCCTAACCGAGCCGAACTGCTTCCATTGCTTCCCCCAACACTCTGCTGTGACCACGATGTTTATTACATCAGGGGTGAGGGAAACAGTTTGGCTCTAGTACGGGGATTGGCTTTAGGCCAAAGGTGCTTTTTTGCAGTTTTCAGTGCAGAGCAGGCACTGTGGTGTGGCAGGTTACAGCCCTGTTAGGACATGGTGTGCCTCACTCTGGTTTTGTGTTTGAGGAAGTTGTTCTCCCAGCTTGCACATCTTGCCCAGGAAACTGAGGGCAAGAGAAAAGAGGGTGGCCAAGCTTTTGTCTTCCAAGGTGCTAATTACACACACTAGCGTTTCTTGATAGCTGAGGAAACACAACTTATGTCAGGGCTCTGGGCAATGGCTTATCTAGGGTAAGCTGGAAGTTTCTATTTAAGGTCATTCCCAATCCTCCTGAGGAGAAATACTCTGCTGAAAAATACTGCCGCATTATTGGTCCACTTTTTTTATTTTTAAGATTAACAATCTCTGCAGTTTAAATGAGAATTTTAAGAGGATGGATATCTTGTTATGACTCAGTATAGAAGCAGAAAATGTCCTTAACCAATGGGGTCGGCA